CAATAGTTATGCAAAATGTTTGGATTATTTTTTTTTTAACTTTTTGTGTAGTATYATATTACTTATAATTGTCAAAAGCTTGGAAAGAATTAACTTGTTATTGAAAAACTGATAACTGAATCGTGTTCTGATAGATTTCAATATTTGGAACAAATTAATAAATTTCCAAATCGAAATATCCAAAAAAACTTATTAGAACTAAAGTGAAAACAAACAAGTGTCTCAAAAACTCGGTCAATAATATAATTGGGAGGAAGTGATTACACAAAAKATCGTTGTTTTTTYACTTTTATTTCACTTTTTAATTGGCACACGGAGCGTGCAAGTGTGTAATCCATAATTACATAGAACGAAATCTAAAGATAATCTCGTGCTGCACAAATTTTGGAGTAGGTCCAGATATTAGTGTACCAAATGACTCATAATTCGCTTGTTTCGCGTAAATGAGGACTTCTAAATCTAAACACATCAACTGATTATTGGGATTTGGCCAAATCTATTGTGCAAAAGAAAATTTTCCGTGATTTGAACTATCACAATAAATTTTTTCAAAGTGATTCAGCAACTCGAGTAACTGTTTGATGAAAAAAATAATCCCTTCGGGCCATAGATTTTTTTGTCTCTAATTACGTCCAATCGATCGATAAAAAAAATTGGATAATAATTGAAACAAAGCAAAAATTAACGACCGCTTGAACTCCTCGTCTCTTATTTAACCTTCGAGAGATCTACGCACGACTAGCAACCAAATCGTATTTCATCCTGATTCAATAATAATCTTAACGAATTTATTGCAAACAGTTGTTCGATTGACCACAATTGATTTATAAGCGGCGTTGTTGGCGAAATCGTTAATGAAAACCACCGAGAAATGTCACGCAAGTCGCACAGAATATCGAAAAAATGGAAATAATGTGTGCCATTATGGTTTCGTAATTGGCAACAACATGATTTGCTTGTTAGGGTGCAACAATATCGATTTGTTTCTGTCAAAATGTCGCAACGAACGATGCTTTTGCAAGCGAACTGGAACAATAATTTTACTCGGGGTAATGAGCGGTCGTGTCATAACAAAGAAATTTTGTGTTTTGCTAACGTAAGATTGAAAATTGGAAAAAATACGCACGGACGACCTTCAACGAGTCGCCACTGAGCCGTGGAATCGCGTAATTGGCTTATGGTTTTGTAAACCAGTGAACATTGACAAGGAAATAATCAGATGGTTCAGGGAAAGACGCTTGACAATTTTTTAAAAGAAAAATTGAGGATTTTTGAGATAATTTAAGATTTTTTAAAAAATTACAAAAGAATTTTCTCTTAAGTCTTATTCTCAACTAGAAAATGGAAAAATTCACTTTAAACTAAAGACAACATTCGTGTGAAACGATACTGGGATATACAATTAAAAATATGAAGATCCTGAGAAGCTGTGTCGCAAATTTGAAGATTTACAGAAGATTTTCACTTGACTAAAGCTCAAGATTTTGAGCATTAAATAAGAATTGTGAATTTTAAAACGCTGTTTCTTGATTTAGAAAAATTGGTGATTTTTTTGAGATAATTCAAGATTTGTTTAAAAAAAAGGTTTTCTCTCAAATTATCTAAATTTTCTTTTCAAAGCTTTAGTAGATAATAATTAAACAACTGTCGTGCGAAACGATATTGAGATTACAAGTAAAAATTTGAAGATCTTGAGAAACTATGTGAAGATTTACAGTAGATGTTCACTTGACTAATACTCAAGATTCTGAGTCTTAAATGAGAATTGAGAATTTTAAAACGTTGTTTCTTGATTTAGAAAAATTAGGAATTTTTAAGATAATTCAAGATTTTTTTCAAAAAATTACAGAAAGGTTTTTTCTCAAATCATCTAAAGTTTGTTTTCAAAGCTTAAGATAATAAATATCTTATAATTCTCTTATTTTTGATTTCTTACATAATATTAATATACAAATTTTAGTACGAACATCTACCAGTTATCAAGATTTCAAAAAACGATAATTAGGACATTTTAAACTTTTGGAATTTTTTTCAACATTTCTTCATATTCTCAACTAGAAAATGGGAAAATAGACTTTATCCTAAAAAACAACAGTCGTATGAAACGATATTGAGATTAGAACTAAAAATATGAAGAAATTGAGAAGCTATGTTCCAAATTTGAAGATTTACAGAAGATTTTCACTTGACTAAAGCTCAAGATTTTGAGCATTAAATAAGAATTGAGAATTTTAAAACGCTATTTCTTGATTTAGAAACATTGGGGATTTTTTCAGATAATTCAAGATGTTTTTCAAAAAATTAGAGAAAGGTTTTCTCTCAAATCATATAAATTTTCTTTTCAAAGCTTCAGCTAATAAATATATTCTATAATTCTTAAATTTTTGAGTGCTTACATAATATTAATATACAAATTTTAGTACGAACATCTATCAGTTATAAAGATTTCAAAAAACGATAATTAGGAAATTTTAAACTTTTGGATTCTTTTTTTTTTATTATTTCTTTATATTTTCAACTAGAAAATGGGAAAATAGACTTTCCTAAAAAACAACAGTCGTGTGAAACGATATTGAGATTACAAGTAAAAATATGAAGATCTTGAGAAGATATGTCACAAATTTGAAGATTTACAGAAGATTTTCACTTGACTAAAGCACAAGATTTTGAGCATTAAATGAGAATTGAAAATTGTAAAACGCCATTTCTTGATTTTTACGAAAATTATTACAAGATTTTATCGCCTTTTCCACAGCAAAATTGAGATTTGAAATAAAACAAAAGATCCTAAATAAAGTGTTGGGATCTTAAAAAAACCTTATAACTACTGTGAAACTGAAGGTTTTGATAAGATATGGTGATATTTGGCAGAAATTGAAGATTTACATGAGATTTTTGAGTAAAACTCAATGTTTTGAGCACTTTGTAAGAACTGCTTCTCGACTTTACGAGAATTTTTTTTTGTACATACCTTTTTTATATCTTAATACTTAATTTTCCTTTAAATCAATAAATAAAGTTTTGTTTTTTTGTCTGTGTTAGAAATTGCATTTATAATTCAGTAAGTCATAAATTAGTGGTTTCAAGTTTGCCAAAATGTGAAACACTCAGTCATTTTAAAAGTT